GCAAACGATCATAAGATAGGTGGATCTAGGAACATCGAGTTTATGGCTGTTTTCACAACATTCCATTCGATTTTTTGTCTTTTTCTGTCTTTTTTTCTTTTTCTTACCTTCATGTCGAACTTCTTCCCCTCCAACATCTTCTCGTAGGCGAGCTCGAAGCCCTGGTCCAGCTGTCTCCTGATGAACGGGTGACGTGTGTTCACCATCAGCATGAAACTCGCTGTACACACATGGAAACAACAACATGTTACTATGTGTTCACCATCAGCATGAAACTCGCTGGACACACATGGAAACAACAACATGTTAATACGTGTTCACCATCAGCATGAAACTCGCTGTACACACATGGAAACAACAACATGTTAATATGTGTTCACCATCAGCATGAAACTAGCTGTACACACATGGAAACAACAACATGTTAATATGTGTTCACCATCAGCATGAAACTCGCTGTACACACATGGAAACAACAACATGTCAATATGTGTTCACCATCAGCATGAAACTCGCTGTACACACATGGAAACAACAACATGTTAATATATTTCTATTGAGGATATAGCTATTGTTTTTTGTCGTTGTGCTATGGTTTTTATGTGGGAAAAATTACATTTTTATAGCTATAAAGCTAGACTTTCTATGGAACAGGGCCTATACACACGTATCCAACCGTACAAAACAGACAGGAAGATACTGACATAATGAAAATGAAACTGTTCTCCAACTCAGGAAAATGACTCACCGGGAATTTTGCGAGAGGAATGAAGGAAGCCATTACAGCAGGGCATACCAACTTTCGCTCAACCGGGACTGGGGGTGGTACCGACTTCCGACGACCTTTGACCCAGTGCTTACGTCACACGTGGGTAAAAGTCACTTGTCTGTAGCACTCGGGGCAGAAAGCAGACGAAGACCGAGTGATTCGGTCGAAAATTCCTGGTGAGTCAATTTTTTTGAGTTGGAGAATTAATTTTCATTATGTATTTTACCAACTCTGATGAACATCATGATCATGCTAAGGAAGATATCTCACCTTTCAGATGTTTGGTGACCCTGACGACGACGTAGTGGTTGGTGCTGCTCCGACAGGCGTCCGCCTGCATCCACAGAGGAGCGCGGACTAGCCGTTCACGCAGGGACTGCAGCGCCTCCACCGACTCCACACGGATTTTCCTGTACAATCAATAAAGAATCGTGAGAAAATTTACTAATTTTTCGATACCTTCGATCAAGTTTTCAATCCGATCAGTGACTATTTTGATGAAAACTTAAATCCTTTTATGCGGTCGTGTGGCGTAAGGACAGAGCGTTCGGCTCGGAACCAAGAGGTCCAGAGTTCGAATCCTTCCATTCCACCGATCTTGTGCCCTTGTTGAGAAAGACAATTTACACGAATTTCCTCACTTCACTCAGGTGAAAATGAGAATGTCTGTTGCCCGTTTATGCGTTTGTCTGCGTTGGTGGTGGCATAAATATAACTTGAAAAAACTTGAGTGTGCCGTCGCCATGTCTTGTAATAAATGTTGGAATAGAAAAAAAATCCTTTCATGGTCTTTTATGACATGCTCCCCGAGAGGCAAGTAGGCCTATCGAAAGATGAGAGCGCTACATTCACTCACTGTACAGAATGTCTACACAGTTATGACGCTATATTTGATAAATAAGGCCACACTGACTTTATTTGATGGATGACATCCCCTGAAGACCCCAAAACTAGTGCACGCGGGCGAATAAAAAAATCTCAGCCTCCTTTTCTTCTTCTCCAAACAGTGGCCTCTGACCTGGCCAATGGCCAGATTTGTTGACGTTTGTCACCATAGTAACTGGTGTTGGGTTACATAATGCTGCAATTTCATACATGTAGTAGGAGGGATTTAGACTCCTTTCGCCATATATGTGAATGTGTTTGAGTAAGAATTAACAGAGCAGACTATATGTGAAGGTAAACATTATGCATTTGTTTTGAAAATGTTACCTTTCTAGTTATATTTGTGCGAATGAATTTAAAACACACAAACACATACCTTCCGAGTCTGTTGGCGAACACAGGCATGTCCACGCAGACGTTGGCCATCTGCGGGTCGTGCACGATCTTCCTGGTGCCGGGGTCGATCACGAACGTGCTCCGGGGCAGGTTCCGGAGGAAGTTTTGCATGAGGGCGGCCCCCACCATCATGTCGTCCTCCTGCCGTTCTGCCATGGCGGGGTGGGGAGGGACGGGGACACCGTACACGACTGCTGACATCCTGGTACGGTAGTTGTGGCTTTCCTGAAATCATATCCCGTCCGTTCTTTATTCGTGACACCAAAAAGCAAACCTTTACAGCAGGGATGAGACTCCCTGAATTGAAAGTTTGCGTACAAAAAATTAACGTAATGTTGAAATGTACAGTACTAGTGTGATTCGTGAATGACCAAAATTTGAATTTTATTATGCTAAACGTATGTAATATCGTGTAAATATTTTTTAATGTGTAATGAATGAATGAATGAATGAACGTTATTGCTCGACAATATCGTACATGAAAGTGAAAGTGATCTCGAACCAGTTTTAGGTCACTGAAGAGCTAATCTTCCACTGGTCGTGACAGAGAAGACAGACGCTATGTACAGTATTTACAGGTTCATTGTACCGGGAAAATTCCCCTAGCTCTTTTCGACAAGCGCAATGAACAGTGGACCACGGCTTAACGCCCCGTCCTCAGGACTGCGACCCTAAACAGCAGCTTGCGGGTCGGCTGAGCGACAACTGCCGGGATTCGAACTCCCAACCTCTTAGTTCAGAGGCAGGATCGCTAACCACTGGACTACGCACGCTACGTCATGGTGCATGGTACAATGTGTGGCAGCTACAACAATACTACAAAACTAAAGTATTTACTGGAATGTCGGACTATATACTAGAATTCTATCGTTTATTGAGGTTTTTCATCGATCATATCATCTGTCAGTTCATGTATTTTCATCTATATACGGTCATCTTTTCAACAGAGGTGACAAAGACAAGATAGTTATCAAATTTCTAAGTAACCCTTCTGTTTGACGTCAGGTGTTTCGATGACTAGTTACGCATCCTGAGTCTTCTCAGTCTCGAGTTTTGTTGTCATGCACTCGACTGTAAAAAATGAGATCCTGGCCCTCCGGCAAAGCAAAAAGATAGACAAATACGTCATTGAAGTATGACGTACGTTACGACACTAGGGTTTATCAAACCACAGCCAAATAAGTCGATCTTTTTCTCGTGCTATATGCTACTCACAAATATGTACGCATTATTAGTCTATCGGCTTGGATTGTGTATTTGGAGAACGTTAACCGGTGTTTGTTTTGTTTTAAAAACAAAACAAACAAACCATGCGTGTGATCTCTTTTTTGTAACTTGGTGACAATTGAAACTGGTCCAACATGTTACTTAGCCACCTGCAGTAACTTATAATTTGCATAGGTGCGCGACTGTGTGTATGATTTGAGTACAAAAGGAAACATGTACTGTATGCTACACACAAAATAGAAATTATCTAAACGTTAATCAACATTAGATTGTCTCAAGCATAACTCTATTTACCACATAATTAGATACTTGTACTATTAGGCTTCAAGCATAACTCTATTTACCGCATAATTTTCATGAAATCTGACAAAACGATGTGTTGTCAATGTGTATTACTTTGTGCAAGTTTAGTCGGCTGTGAAATTTGGCAAAAAAACTTGACTTGTTCGTTATTTACCTTTAACGGTTTGGGGGTCAACGTTAGATTTAAAATGTCTCAAGCTAATTGATATTCCTTGCGAGTTTTATTTCTGTGCCCGTTTTAGCCTGCAAGCCCTTTGTTGTATTCTTACTTCTTTTGTAGTGGTTTGGGATTTGGGTTATTTTTGGCGTGTTTTAAGGCATTTTTTCGGGGTTTCTTTTTTTGCACTGTAATTTTTTCACCCAACCCAACAGTGTCAAAAGAAAAGAAACCCCCGATAAAATAAGCCTGAAAACACGCCAAAAATAACCCCAAACCCAAACCTCTGCTTGAAGAGTAGTACTGTACCTCCTCGTAAAACTGTACATGTATGTCGACATAGCCTCCCTAGCAGGCTTATAGAACTGGGGGTTTTGTGGTCGGCTGTTTTCTGATTAGCCCAGTTCGGGGGTTAAATTCAACCAGGCCGGCTATGTTGTCTATATGCAATCAGAAAATAGCACACATAAAGCTCCCAAAGACCCTGAAGACCCTCCCAAACCCCCAGTTTTTGGCATGCTATGGAGGCTAATGCCATCTTTTCCAGTCGATGAGTCCGTATGTACACAATCACTGCTGTTCTGTTGTGTCACGATGACTAAGAGAGAGTAAAAGTTCAGTAGTCTGTGCCAGTCTCCATTTGGGACGATTATAACTGAGTGAGTGATTTGCCCCCAGGGACAACCGGTAATTTTTTGTCTGTCTAACTCCTCTGTAAAAGTACTGACAGAGGGCCTGCAAGGGGGGTAGTGATTACGAATCACGCAAAATTTTCGCCGCCTATTACGAATTACTTTAAAGTCTCAGAGCTGATTACGACTTCACGATTTGCGGCTAATGTCCAATTACGACTTACGTTGATTTTTGCGGAGGCTGCCTACCAGTTACGAAGTCTAAAACGGCCTGATTACGCCTTACGAAAAAGGTCCTGACAGTAGACACCATTTCGGCAAATAACTGCTCTCTAGATTCATTTCACTAGCCTCTACCAGACTTCGGGAGGCGGCTGGAAAGAGTAGAAATCGGCCAAATAGAGAGATAACATGCCAGGGGAGTTGGTCCGCTAGAGAGTACAGTTTGCCGCACCCGAAATGTACTCTCTCTGGCGGACCAACTCCCTGGGCATGTTATGTCTTTATTTGGCCGATTTCTACTCTTTCCAGCCGCCTCCCGAAGCCTGATAGAGGCTACCATTTCACCATACCACAAGAGAAGTCTAGGGTAGACTAAGATCAACACAAACAAACAAACAAACAGCAAATTAACAACAACAAATAAGAAGAACTGACAAACACGTTTCGCACAGACACTTGTAAGAGCTGAAAGCCATGACGTCATATGTTTACTATTTGTTATGCCGCCATGTATTTAGAAAGTTTCGCTTGGATGACACCCGGGCCCCCGAACGGAATTTTTTTACGATTTTGTTGTGCAAAAATGCAACGGCGGCAAACGACAGCTTTTTATAAAAGCACTTGTTTAAGTCAACACCGTGACAATAGAAATAACATTATACTCCGTGTTGATGCTTTGTGTATTATCTCAAAGCGTGTAGGTGTCCTAAAGATGTGTAAAAATTTGCTACCTATATCCAAAAGTAGCCCACCAACTACGTGAATATATGATCACATGTAAGGGTATGGACAGCGAAAGTTTGTGTACCAATACGAATGTACACACTAGAACGTTGAAAACACTGAAACCACTTGCCGTTACTAGTTGCAAAACTCTCCGAGACAGGGATTTAGGCACACTTAAATCTATGGGCAGCGAAAGTTTCTGTTACATACATGTATATAAATATATACTAGAACGTTGGGAACACTGAAACCACTTGACGTTACCAGTTGCAAAACTCTCCCAGACAGGGATTTATGCACTATGGGCCAGCGAAAGTTTCTATTACATATATATATAACAGACTAGAAAGATGGGAACAATGAAACCACTTGCCGTTACTAGTTGCAATTATAAAACTCTCCCAGACAGGGATTTAGGCACACTTAAATCTATGGGCCAGCGAAAGTTTCTATTACATATATAACAGACTAGAACGTTGGGAACACTGAAACCACTTGCCGTTACTACAAAACTACCCCAGACGGAACGTTCAATTATAGATCAGAAGGTCATACAGTTTCATAACATTCAACCCACCGATGTGTTAAATGCCAATCTACCTGTACTGCACTGTACTAACGTTATATATCATATGTAGTTCTTGATTTAAGTCTCCAAAGTCTAATACTTCGGTTCATTCCCAGTCATTTGAGTAAACAAACGCAGTTGAATCTTCGAACTACGGACAATAGTGCATGTATACCCGCCAGAGTATACTTTAAGCACTTCTTTCCATACGTAACATATGTTCCTCTTTTCAAGTGCACATGTTATTGATACTTCAACCCACATACAGTGTATACATAATACAGTTCAATGCGGTTATATGGACTTGTACACAGTGCCAGTAAGTTTGCGAAACGTGTGACTTCCTGTCGTATTCCAATCTTACATTGTTACGAGGAAAGTCCCCAGGTCATTGTACTATATACAGATTAGCATTGACGTAAGACCAGTCGTTGTCATTACAACTGAGTCTTAAGTAATCACCTTAAGGTTGGCAGGGTGTCCTTCGGGTGTCTTAAGTTCCTGAGTTAAGCTGTTGCTGAAAATGTTCTTCACTGATAACAGGAACAAGCTAACCCTTCAAGGAAGTACTAAACAGCACGAAAAGTTCCCTATGTGCAACAAGAGTGAAAAGGTCTCACCAGTAACAACTCACCTACGATCGGTGAAAGTATGCCGCAAAATAGTCCTCCTTGGTGCTCGGGAAACCTTAAGAACTGTAGACGTACTGTCTTAAGGTCTGTGGAAGACAGATTTCGGTAGAAACAGCGAAGATTGGCTTGGTATCTGTGCCCTTTTGGTAGTTAACACTGCGAGAGTACAAATGGCGGACCCGTACGGGGTGTTTTGTATTCTATACAATGATCACACCCAGGTCGAACAAGTCGGACAACTTCCTCTTACGTCACTAAGTGGGCGGAGCCTATTTTTAGCAAGGGGTGCAGTAGTTCTCAGGAAACCCACTAGACAATACTGCTCACGGGCTTCTTGGACAATAAGGAAATTAATTGTTTCAAGATGTAATCTTTTACGTACACGTATACTAATACCTGGCCAGACTATCATTGTTGACTAATATGGAAATCATCCATTTTGTAATACTCAAATCAAGGAGTTCATTTCACTACCTTTTAAGGTTACCCGTCGATAGTGTTATAAGTAGAGCAATGATCAAATTTTAATAGGTAACTTCCTTCCTTTTTAGATCATGTTCAAACCAGTCAATAGTACTTCTGTTGACCACACATAGCGATTTTTGTATTTTTAAATCTTCCGGTTTCCACATTAGGGTAATGCTAGGGTATTTCCCAAACTATTTTGTTTGAGTGTTGACTTATTAAACTTAGAGCAAAGAGAACACGACCACTTGCCACGTAAGAAGGCTACTGTATCTGTAATTTAAATAGAATGCAAGTAAATATAGTTAGATTATGTCCTAAACCAAACACCCAATAGTTCAACACCTGGCTCTGACTACTGTTTGGTCAAACAAGTGTCTCATTTCTTTTAAGAGCCTTGTTAAGGCCATGTTGATTTAATTATATGGATGACATCCACTGGGAAGCCCAAAACTGGTGCGAGCGTGCGAATAAAAAAAAGTTTGGCAAAAAAAAGTTGCCTTCAATATAAAATGTAGGTGGTCATGAAGGTTGAACAAATGACTAAACACACAGAGTAATATTTTATTGGCATGGTGAATAATAGACTCTTAAGCTTCATTTTCATTCCTTCACATTTTCTTCTTGTCCTTTGGAATGGATTTTGGCATTCTGCAACATTAGTATCATTTTCCAATTTTTTTCTCTTTCAACTTATGGCATATATTTGCTCATTTTGCTGCTACTTTAAAAAATTTACATTATGGTCGAAAACTTTTTTTGGGAAGCAGACGAAAAAAAATTCATGTGAGTGTGGATGTCATCCATTTAATCAAATCAACATGGCCTTATGGGAGGAAGGAAAAAGCTAGGATCCAAGTTGTTTCAAATTTTCATTTAAATTTTGCAGATCCTTGATCTGTGCCTGAACACTGAAAATAAACTCATTTTTATGGGGTAATCTAAGGTCATACTGTATTATAAAGACTACAGGGACATATGAAAATAAAATACATTGAAAATAAACTCATTTTTATGGGGTAATTTAAGGTTATACTGTATTATAAAGACTTCAGGAACATATATTACTAAATGGCACAGGAATAAGAAACACATGACACAAATGTATACAAGACAGTTTACTCAACTGACAGCGTTGTGCATTTCCATAGCACCAAATTAACCATACATGGTACGTGTTGTTTAACCAAGCACACCTAAGAGTGCATTTTCTAAAAAAACACAAATATATATTATACGTAATATACATTGTTGTATGAATAAATGTGTGGCAAGTTGCAACTACTTTCTAATGTGCATTAAGGCTGACTCTCTGTTCCATAGAAATATGAAATTTGTTGTGATATAACTTTACCAAGTTGTAATGGCCATAATAGAGAAATAATTTGCCAAGCACTGTGTCTACATCTTCGTTACAAATACATGTAGTACTACCAGGGCAGCAAAAAATTTCACATGGTCACAACATTGGGGCACTCTACAATGTTTCAGATATCTATGACAATGTCATACAGTTTAAAACACTAGCACAGTGAATTAAGTACTAGTACTTTTTTTCTTCCATGAGAAGTTAGTACCAGTGCACCTTGAAGATTATGATACCTAAAAAATTCTAAAATGGTATAAAACTACAAATTCTTTATCAAATTTGGGATATTTTACAATACTGATCAAAGGCAATTATGTTGCTTGAAAAGACTTTTAAAGGCCTTCAGATTGTTCCCTTTCACGATATATTGTAAAATGTCTCTAGAAAAGCAGATAATGTACAAGTTATTTCAGCTCACTTTCTTCTACTTACATAGCACGTCGGCAGAACGTACTGCGCCTGCGCAGAACCCCGTATTTTTGCATTTTTCGTTGGGTTTTTGGTCAACGTTGCATCAAAATTTTTCCTGTTGCAGAGGATATTCTTTCCGACACAACATTTGGAAACTACTGTCGAAATGCTAACCTTATATGAGCAAATACAACCTTACATGAGACGTTCTGCCGAAATGCTATGTACAATACATTACGGGTTTCGCGCAGGTGCAGTACGTTCTGCCGACGTGCTTACTTACATAAGGTATGCAGTGCACAATAGTTGCCCCTGAATGTATTACTGAAGGCACAGAATTTTAGTCTCAAAAGAATAACACAAATCTTATAAGTCTTATTCCTTTTACAGAACAAATTTGAAGGTTTTCTGTATAAAAATTTGACCAAAAAACAGTTCCTGTTTTGCTCACTAAACATCCCTTTCACAGTTTACTTTCACGGTTATTGGCATAAAAGCATTCTAATGCTTTAGAAACTCTTTTTTCTGACATGGTGAACTCCCTTTTTTTAATCAGGATACTGATTGTTCATGCATAATACTAACACTTATTAATATTCAGAAATATTAGATCCGAAACACAGAACATCAGTTGATTAAAAAAAATACTATTCTAAAACGGCTTCATAATTAAAACAAAAGTTGATTCTAAGATTGTCTACTCAATTAATTGTAAGGACAAAACTGCAACACATATTATTCAGCTTAGGCCACACCAATTTAATTTCTTGGTTAACGTATTCGCCCGCTTCATTTTTTCTGATTTGCAAATAAAAATTCAGAATCAACCTCAAAATGCTCATATTTTGCCCTGTACAGTTGAAAACAGTTGTTACAGTTATTCAATCTTTCAATGCAATGGTATCATTAAAAGTTCAACCATGAAGTCAACACACCAGCCTGGTGTGTTGACTTCATGGCTCCTATTGTGCCATTTTGGACCATAATAGGATGCCTAGACCTGGTTTTATTTTTATTTTTTTTCGCCCGCCCGCTCCATTATTTTCCTAGAAAAATCCGTTAACCAAGAAATTAAATTGGTGTGGCCTTAATACAACATAGTATTGTACATGACAAACTATGAGGAGCACTTGTCATTTTTTTGGCACTAAATTAATGAAAACAATGGCTTTCCTATAAGGTAATTAAAATTAAACTACATACATCTGATGATGTTTACAGACAGCTATGAGAATATATAATACATAATAAATGAGAAAATGGCTCTGGTAGCTATAAAACTTAGTCTTCACATATTTGTGAATTTTTCTCCCAAATGTACTAAAAGCCTTAAAACATTCTCTGCACATCACAATAATGAATATACATGATCTAGTAAAAAGTTGAACCGGTATTTTTCAGCTTGGAGATTAAAAAATGACCATCGTGGTTCAGATGGTTTAAAAGGCACAATCTGGCACAAAGTGTTATTTTATCACTAATTAGATTAATTAGATTAACTCGTAACAGGATAATACCTAAGGCAGAATAGCAGAAAAAAGGAAGAAATCCACATAATATAGAAAGTTTAAATCATTTTAAGTTGATGCAGAACCTGGCCAAGTACTTTTTAATCACTACATAGACGTGAAGTTGTTGCAAGATATCTAAGGCAGAATAGCAGAAAAAAATCCACATATAGAAAGTTTAAAATCATTTTAACTTGATGCACAACCTGACCAAGTGTTTTTTAATCACTACTTAGAAGACGTGAAGTTGTTGCAGGATGATATCTAAGGCAGAATAGCAGAAAAAAATCTACATATAGAAAGTTTAAAGTTAAAATCATTTTAACTTGTTGCAAAGTAGATACATGTTATGAAGCAAGTTTAAACTGTAATATGCAACACAACAAATTGGACTCACCCAAATTTTTGACTGTACAACTCCAGTCTTTGTCAACAATCCACCACTTCCGTGACGTCATGCAGATAACACACGTGACTCCGTGAGCAGTGGATCATACATTGTAGGTTGCAGAAAGTCTGTGACGTCACGGAAGCAGTGGATTGCTCATTCCTTGACAAAGACTGGAGTGGTACAGTCGAAAATTTGGGTGAGTCCAATTTGTTTGTTTTGGATATTACAGTTTAAACTTGCTTCATAATGATTTCTACCAACACAGATGAACTTTCAAGATTAGATACATGTTGTAAATAAAACGAGAAGCGTTTCTGCTTTTTTTTCTCTCCACTAGCTGCAGATTCCCGTGTTGACTTCGCATCCGGACGTCGGCACGGCGAGGAACAGTTTCCCGTCAGGACACGTGCAGAGTTCGTAGACGTTGTTGAGCCGGCGCCCCGATCCGGCGGGCCTGCTCTCCGGGATGTTCTGTAGGTGGATGTTACCAGCATCCAACACAATCTGTCAGGGGGGAGAAAGAGGCAATATATATCTGAAGGGACCTGGTACTGTATATACAATGTACATATAGAACACAACACAGGGTATTCCGTATCGCCCGAGGTATCGGCCCGTGCAGCCGTCGGGGCGATCCAACTCGCAGGAGGGCCAGAACCGAGGGCGATACGGAATACACCGTGTTGTATTTGATTTATGTCATACCCCCCCAAGAAAACACACCTTTCAATGCAAGATGAGCAAATAGTTGGTGCCACTAAGCCCTAAAATGCAACAACATCAATTCTAACATCCGGATTCTGTATTCAAATTTTTGAAAGCGGCGCACATGGTTAGGGCAAGACGCGTTGAATCGTTCTATGGAAGCCAGGGCCGTAGAACTACTAGTTATCACACGGGCCAGAACACCCATATTATATATCAGGACCAAGGTGAAAATACTGTAAATTCTATTGTATCATCTATGGATGAAACTTTCAGAGCCTATTTTGAAGCTGTGGCAAAAGTATGTACAAATGTACCTTTCCCTGGCTGGATGTGAGTTTGAGGTCAGTACGACAGGTTGCAGAGAATCCTCCTCCCTCAGCCTCCATGGTCACTCCTTCTGGTGCCTCCACATACAGGGACCTGGTGGTGGACTCCAGCCTAGCAGACAGTTCCCAAGGTTTAACAACATGGGCAGCATTAGATTTTCAGGAAAATGTCAAGGTGTGTTTGTCATAGCTGACACTTCAGGGCTCGAAATTTATTTATGGGAATAGGTGCACTGGTGCACCCATTTTCAAAATTTTCTGGGTGCATATATATTAGATAAGTAGAATGTCAGCAAAAACTAATTATGTTTCATTTCTAAAGAAAAGTACTCGTACAATGATTTAATTATTTTTTCTGACACTTAGACGTTAAGAATATGCTGTATACTACTATACATTTAACATCTTTACATATGTAAACCTACAAAAATATTTGGGTGCATAGAAAAAAATGGGGTGCACATGTCCAATTTTGGGTGCACTAAGGTGCACATGCACCCAGTATTTCAAGCCCTGCACCTGGAGCTGCAGTACTTTATTACATCACTAGGAGGCATTGTATGAGAGAACAACAGTCACTACAGTGCAGCCAAGCCATTTGTGTATGTAATAAGTTTGTACTTACTTGAGGGGTTCAAATGGCTCTGCTCTTACATGCGGGGTCTGCACTGAGCCTGCAAAGACTGCTCCTTGCTCTCCTAAAAACAAGTATTTCAGAAAATAGTAAGAATCTGTTTGACAACAAAAACTGTGCTTTTGCCTTCATATTCAATGGCAAGGGACAATGTTCAGTACTGCAATAGACAGAAATTAATTTACATTTCAAGCTTCATTCTAGTTTGATGTACATTTCTATAAGGCCATAACAAGTAAATTGTATGGATGACATCCTCCACAGATTCCAAATCTAATGCGAGCGGGCGAAAAAAACAAGGCAGGCCAAAAAAAAACAAGGTTCCCACAATTTAAAATTTTGACTCAATCATTGTACAAATGGTTTTGATTCAGTAGGAACATCACATATACACAGCCAGCATCACATATCAATGCATCAAAGTATGAAACAAAACATTAAATCAGAGTCTTTTCTTGTCTCCTCTCTTCATAGTTATTTGACATTCACCTTCCGGCATGGCAACAGATCTCTTTACCCATTTTCGGCATATTGACCACTGTCAGAAGGCAAAAAAATGTCTTGTTTTTTTTTTTTCAAAATCAGGCGAAGATTGGCAGGATTAGCAATTTTAAGTATGAACCAGCCAGTTAAGTTACCTGTGACTCTGAGTCTGTCTGCTCCAACCACCACTTCATTGGTGTCAGCGTAGAACAGCATCTTTCCATTGTTATCATCCACCTGGAACTGGTCATTCATGGCAACCACGTCATTGGCACCTGGAGAAAAGAAAACATCACCAAATCTGTCAGGAACAGCCTCCAGTTTAATTCTGGACTTCCAGTTTAATTCCGGACAACCTCCCATATCTCAGCAACCTTACACCCAGATGGGCTAATATCGCAAACCATAGGTAAAAATGATGTAAGAAATATGTAGCAGCTATTCATGACCCCCTGGGGGTTCGTTCAATTATTTTACGTATTATAACCCTTGAGCATTATGCATAATTATGCATAACCCCTGAAAGCATTGTGCAAGCATTAACTACCTACCATTATGCAAGGTAGGTAGTTTTCTAGGGTCGGTCGGGAAACAGGAAACACAACATTTTCTTTCCTAGGCCTAACAATCCTGTCTGTAAATGTTCCTTTTGATGTTAAAACATAACTCAGGGTTCTAGTTAGCGTGAAGTAGCGCAGGGGCCCCCTACGCTATAACTTTCACCCCCTACGCTAAATTTTCCCCCCTATGCTATAATTTTGACCCCCTACGCTAAATTTTCAATACAGCATAGGGGCATTGTGACTGTATTTCTTTGTTCAAGAATGCCAGATCAAGTGTGAAAAAATATCAATCAAAGATACATTGTACATACCTTAGAAATAACATTTTTTCCCTTTGGGTAGCCCTCAAATGGCCCCTTTTTTAGCTCAATTTTTTAAAAGCTCCGCCCGTAAGGCTACTGACTTACAATGTACAAAAATGTATATCTATGATGTCACTGTCTAAGCATTTAGACCTTCAAGCTTGCAATACATGCTTGACACATTCACGCGAAAAAACATCAAGACCAAGGTTAAATTCTGACTCATGCTTTACTAGATAAAACATGCACAGCCATAACACTAACAGAATATCTAAACAAGATGCTAGGGGGGCCCAAACTCATGTCACTTCTTCCCTACCCCAAGAGCTATCTACCAACCAAAATTCATGACCCTTGCATGTCCAGATCGCGAAATATATACAAAAACGGAAGTTATGCTGCAGTACCAACAAAAGCCGCCAGGGGGCCCAGAATCTAATCATTTCTAGGTCTCCTCAAGACCTACCCACCTACCAAGTTTCATGACAATACAATATTAAGCTTCTTGAGTTATGCTGTTCACAAACGGACAGACGGACAAATGGACAGATGGACAAACGGACAGACGCTACTGAAAACATAACCTTCTTGGCGAAGGTAATAAGATTATAGTTAAGATGTATGTGTCCTTCTTACCGATAACCAGTTTCCCAGTAACGTTGCCATTCCGGTTCCTGGCATTCATGGTCACATTTCTGGCTGACTCCAGAACAAGAGGCTGGTTCTGTGAGGGAAAAAAATGGTAGTATACAATGAATTTCTGATTTTTGACAACAACTATAACTATGCTCACTATGCACTATTGCACTGTACGTGTAGGGATTCAGACTCATCTTTGACTTTACAAGGCTTGAAATACTAGTGCAGATAAAATGGAGGCTGTGCAGGTATTTCTGATGTCTACCTGCACCTAATCTGCACTGGTCCATGTACTGGGTATATGCAGGTTAGTGCAGATAAAATGGAGGCTGTGCAGGTATTTCTGATGTCTACCTGCACCTAATCTGCACTGGTCCATGTACTGGGTATATGCAGGTTAGTGCAGGTAAAATTGGAGCTGTGCAGGCATTTCTGACGTCTACCTGCACCTAACCCACACTGGTCCATGTACTGGGTATATGCAGGTTAGTGCAGGTAAAATTGGAGCTGTGCAGGTATTTCTGATGTCTACTTGCATCTAACCTGCACTGGTCCATGTACTGGGTATATGCAGGTTGGTGCAAGTAAAATTGGGGCTGTGCAGGTATTTCTGATGTCTACCTGCACCTAACCTGCACTGGTCCTTGTACTGGGTATATGCAGGTTGGTGCAAGTAAAATTGGAGCTGTGCAGGTACTTCTGATGTCTTCCTACACCTCATCTGCACTGGTCCTTGTACTAGGTTTATATACATGTACAAATGTAGGTAGTGCATGTGCTGCATTGACTGTTACCACCTATGAATGATAAAACTTGAAAGAAATAATGGCAATGGTTTCTGAACAGTGTAGGTATGACCCGACTTCTCAAAGTCTGAATGGTGCAGGTAAAACTTGTCTGGTGCAGGCAATTCCAATGTTAAGAAGATTTGCTGAAAAAAAAGGATTTTGAGCCCTGGTGTAGGACCAGCCATTCAGAATGTGTCTTTCACTTCAGCTTACCGTACAGTAATACAATAAGAGTTACATACACATGTATCTGTGTAACATCAACTTGGCCATTGCCTCAAGTCCCCATACATTCTGACTACCATGATATGTTTTGATACAATACAGATGTTAGTGGTGGCAGGTAAAATGGAGTAACTTGACCTGTGGGTTACTAAAAGAATTCAGACAGACATTCTATCTACTCTCTTGTAATATCTTATTTGATAGTTGATGATGTATGTATATAAACAGTGTTACTGCCGCAGTGGGGTCTGGTTTTATTTAATCATACAATGGCAAAAGTAGAAAAGTCAAGGTAAAAGACTGGCTAGGCTTAGGCCACAGCAAGTAAATTTTATGGATGACATCCTCCGCAGACTCCAAATCTAATGTATTAGGGCGAAAAAAACAAGGCGGGCCAAAAAAACAAGATTCCTAAATTGTCAAATTTTGACATCATAAACCTCGTTAAACAAGAAAATGATAATATACCTATATTGTTTACGTTTACTGCCAGCTATTGCAACATACATTTGTCAATGAAACAACTCTGAAAAATGAAAGTTTTCTATCATCCTACAAAATGAGTGGGAACGTATAAAATGAATGAAATACAATGTATATCACTGCATCAAGGTAAAAGACAAAACATTAAATCAGGGCCTTGTCTCATCTCCTCCCTTCATATTTATCTGTCATCCACATTCCGGCATGGCAAGACATGCCATTTTGCCCATTTTTGGCACGTTGACCACTGTCAGAGGGCAACAAAATTTCTTGTTTTTTTCCCCCAAAATCAGGCAAAAATTAACGCACATGCTGATGTCATCCATAAAAATTACTTGCTGTGGCCTTACCTGCAATCCAAACCACAGATTTTAAATCAAGATAAAAAGTTGTTGAACTTGCATCTATCAACATGTAATGTTACCAAAAACCTAAACAGCAACATCTTTGTTTGGTAGTTTGATGATATCTCGGCTAGTATCGTGTTCACACCTGGAGTGTGTCCAGCATACCAAAATGCTTTTGGGCCCTGTATTTATCACCAGGATGGTTGACTTTGACCTTCAATAGCCTGGCTACAGGCCAGGGACACTCTCTGGAGTCTTCCGTGTGTGAACAGACACTAGGAAAGGCCTAGGAAAAAAGATGTTGTGTTTCCTGTTTCCTGACGGACCCTAGAAAAAACTGCTGACACTAGCCTTTTTTGGGGGGGTGGATCCCTGCAAGGGACATGAATTTTTCGAGCTGATTAACCTTTTCTAACTCCATGATCTGCCACCTGAGTGATAAAATATTGTACACTTGGTTTTCTAACATTGACATTGAAAATAAAAGTGTCCTCATGCAATTTTTTTTCGTAGGCCAAACTGTTCCTTGTACCACTAGAATGCAACAACTGGAAAAATTCTTAACATGCATATACGGCATACTTTCAACCTTAAAAGAACTTAAAACTTAAAGGTCACACTTTGTTCCTTAGGGATATTGATCCAAATCTAGTCTGTTTTCCAAAAGGTCTGCATACTAGAACTAGTAAGGGACTGTACGATATTTACCGGTGGGGGAGGGCTGGTGCGTAGGGGGGGGAGGGCCATGGAAAAAATATTTGGCATATGGGGGAGGGCCATGGAAAAAAAATCGGGGCTGGGGGGAGGGCCATGGAAAATTTTCTTTACGAATCCGTCGTACGATCCCTCGAAAAGTGTCCCTCAAAATGCAGGAAATAATGTTCAGAGGGTCAACTATTACACATTTTTCCCGAGCTCTCGCGCCTTCGGCGCTCGACACAAACTTACGGCAAACAAAATTGAGATGACGGACGGGAAAAATCAGGCTGACTAGAACATTGATTATTGAAAAATAACAAAAAATGAATACTAAAGCATGAAGGTCTAAACCTAGCATATTTAGCACATTGACCAAGAAACACCGGTTCTTTTACAGCAGGCGACGCCCTGACGCTCAAATCTGGCCTGCTTTGTGCTGTTGTCCTATAAAACGTGATTTGTTTTTACCATTTTACTTAACGTAAATTCCCGACTAAAGTACGCACTTCTTAAACTTTTCAAAATCCCAAAAGTGTCTCGGGCCGTCACCAAAGTCGGGGTGCGTACTTTATTTGAGATTTTCCCCCGACAAATACGTGGACGACCCAGGAATATAGCGGAACACCGTCACGGGGAGCTTGGAACGACATCGATCGTCCATAGCATGTTTAGATAAGAATATTGACGAGTGGAAATAAAGTTGAACTTCAATAAATGAACATATTTCCTCTGACTATCATCGATATTTACACCAAGTTCCGGTAAAAGAAGAAGTCAAGTCAAGCACACGGTAAGAAAATGTAGGTCACAGGCAAAGATGTCCGGCGCTTTGTCATGCCGACAGGATCGTTCGCCTGCAGTCGGAGGCGATCTCAGGAGAACCCCGGCCGAAAAAAAAGTAAATACATATACAATATTGTAAGAGGGTTTATGAGTAGTAATATTTGAAATGGTCCGCAAGCCATGAACGTTCTTGATCGTCGTAACATATGATAACGTAATAGTTGTACCTCGACTGATGGTCACTTCTAATGCACTTCCGGCTTGGGTTGAACTCAGAAAATTCAACAAAGATTATGCCCATGCCGTTACAGTTTAGTTGACAGAAATTGTTATCCATGGTATTTCGTATCAGAAATCTTTTTGAATCTTGATAAATGCCACAGGAAATTATTTTGTAGCGGGTTATACCTGCCACGCACGACGTGAAAATGCGAGCTAGATGTACTTCTACCCGGCTGTTGCAAACTACAATGATAGGGGCGGAGTTATAAGATGTAGTCTTTACTGAAATCTTACCGCCCGGCGGTGGGCGGGTCCAGTCTGTACGCGCCGACAGGCGTGGCGCCTGTGTTCGTGCCGTTGCCTTGACAACGCATGAAGTACCCCAACTAGACCGGGAAGCAACGTGCACGTACTGAAGTGTGATCGGCGTAAATAAAATAAACTTTGAATCATGCTACGCTACGCTTGTTCTCTTGTTCACGCCGAACTCTTTCTCCAATGTGCACCTACAACTGAAAAACTGCGAAGAGAGGGTCGTGGCAGCGCTGAGGACTGAGCTTTCCAGAACTTGGGCCCCGAGAAGGAAGTATTTTTTCCTCTGAACAGACTGTAACGTTACATATAAGTTTTAAGGAGTGCAAATTTATGCATGTTTGAAGTGTATATCCGTTTGATTTTGTGACAAAAACATCTCTCACATTACGAGAAATTATTTGAAACGCCCAGTCAGACATTTCACTCTCTCCTGTTCGGAATCGCAGGTTCCAGTAGCGCTGTTGTTGTTCAACTTGTTGTTGTTTTAGTTTCAGTGTCAAATTTTAAATTTAGTAGCACTTCTACACCCACAGTAGCAGTAAAACCCCGCCCAGTTCTCCGCCTCGATGATTGTTGCTCCCCATGGGTCGATGGGCGGGCGCTATTAAAGAAGTGTTCGGCGCATTTCGTATACTAAAGAGCAACAAAGCTACGTACTTGTGCATCAACATTCAACTATCCCTGTTAGCGAGAAAAGAATTATTGAATTTTTTTTCACAAATCTTTATTGACTATTGCCTGATCACCAACACTCTCCGGGATCCAAAATTGAACGTTTCGCCGCACTCGTCTTGTCCTTCCATGACGTCTTGCAAATCGGCTGCGGCCGGCGGTGAAAACAAGCCCCAACAGGCCAACACGAAACATTTCCCGCTACAATACTGTAACCAGTTACCACACAATCACGTAGTACACGGCCTAAATCTATTTTTAACCAGCTTTTTTCTAGAACGAACTGTCTTTAAGACATACATACAGATCCACAGTGCCACCGGCCGTGTGTAGAAGGGGTGCGTACTTTATTTGAGTTTTTCCATTTTACGTTTCATGATCAGACGTAATATTTGTCTCCCACCAGCCACAAATCGGGGGTGCGTACTTTAATCAGGATGCGTACTTTATTCGGGAATTTACGGGTAATACCTGTAGGGGGAGGGCCATGGAAAAATTTTTGAGGTGGGGGGAGGGCCAAGGAAAAATTTTGAGATTGGGGGGAGGGCCATGGAAAAATTTTTTGACCGGACTTCCAGCGCACCAGCCCTCCCCCCCCGGTAAATATCGTACAGTCCCTAAAGGCCACACTGATATGACATCTGCACGCGCATTGATTTTCGCCTGTTCTAAAAAAAAAAAAGATTTGCATCCTCCGAGGCTCTTGCCTGGTTCTTGACCTGGGTAGTCCATGTGGTACCTAGCGACACTACTAGGGGGCCGGCGGTAACTCTGGAGGATGACACTCATGCTACCGAAGCTCCACAAGTCAAGAACTTGTGAAGTACATACGTACAGTGCCGATTTATAAATTCCGCAAATGGCCAGCATGTGACTGCTTGTCGTAAACGTCGCTATGTACTACCGCAAATTCACAATACCAGCTTTGTATTCCTGTGGTTTAACAGCATTTTTATTTTTGGCCTAGTTTGGGGGTCTTCAGAGGATGTCATCCATAAAATGAAGTCAGTGTGGCCTCAATGCTGCTAAAAGACTTTGAAACAAATTGGGAAAGCAGCCTTGTCCTGAGTCCTGATCATGTATGATGACTGTAACAGTGGTGTTTGTTGGAAGTCAAGGTTACCGTGCCCCACAGGGTTCTACATGTCAGTACCAACAGCTGGGCCCCATGTAGTTGTGAGTGGCAGTAATAGGAGAGACTTGTGCCTGTGCCAGGAGTGGGAGTTAGGGGCTGGACCTAGCCTGGGTACCATCCGGATTTTCGCTACGCAACGCTCGAAAAATTTTCGAAATCCGGATGGTACCCAGGCTAGGCTGGACCTGGTAGAGATATAAAGTGTCTGGCAAAATCTTAACCCTTAGTTGATGTCTATGCCATTCCTAAGAGGGCCCGCATGCCCTTTTTCCATAGAGCGTAATCGGCAATTCTAATTCTACATAGAGCGTAGACAGACCACTCTAATTTAACGTAGAGCGCATTTTCCCGAAGAGGCTAATTCACCGTTATAATTGTACGTAATGTGTTGTAGCTACCCAGAATTTATCGTAATACATAGCGGGCATAAAATGTGAATTCAGCGTAATACGTAGCAGGGTTTCAAAACTTAGCATAGAGCGTTGTCAGGACCCCCCCTCCCCCCCATGCAGGCCCCCTTCTAAGGCACGTATGTAAACTTGTTACTTGTAGCAGTTCAAAGTCTGGATTAGGCCACACCAATTTAATTAATTGGTTAACGGATTTTTCTAGAAAAATAATGGAGCGGGCGGGCGAAAAAAAAATAAAATAAAAACAGGCCTAGGCATCCTATTATGGCCAAAAATGGTAAGATAGGTGCCATGAAGTCAACACACCAGGCTGGTTCAAAATTTAAACAATGAATTTTGGACTTTTAATGATACCACTGCATTGAAAGATGGAATAACTGTAACAACTAGTAAGAAAATGACTGTTTCCAACCGTTCAGGGCAAAATATAAGCATTTTGCAGTTGATTCTGAATTTTTATTTTTATTCGCAAATCAGAAAAAACTGAAGCGGCAAATCCGTTAACCAAGAAATTAAATTGGTGTAGCCTTATGCAGGGGTTTCTTTAGGCTCAAATTACACATCCACACAGCGTTATTGTCAGTCTTACAATCATGTCTAGAGTCTGGAATTTTTTAAACTAATCTGGCATCTCAGTTATCAGGCTAAGAATGCAGCTAAATCACAACATTTTTTTTATATTCTACTGTCTGGAAAGTATGTCAGACAAAGGTATGTAGGTCAAAAGCTTAACATGTATCTATTTCTATCATGGTCAAATTCTGATGAATTCTGAAAAGGCTAGCTGTGGTGTTCTCAGGGGTGTCAGAGTGTACAGTGAAATGTTACGGAATACAGTGAAATTTTACGGAATACAGTGAAATTTTACTAGTATACAGTGTAATTTTATGGAATACAGTGCAATCGTATTAGTATACAGTGCAATTTTACTAGTATAATATGATTGCACTGTATTCCGTAAAATTGCACTGTATACTGATACGATTGCACTGCATTCCGTAAATTTCCACTGTATTCCGTAAAATTGCACTGTATACTAATACGATTGCACTGTATTCATTAATTTGCACAGTATTCCATAAAATTTCACTGTATACTCTGACTAGTTGTAGGGTTATCCAAACATTCTACAGTTGCAGTTGAAGGGAGGGTTTGAAGTACAAACTCATCACTGTGGCATGTTTACAAGTTCATGTGCCAAGTTGCCTTCAAGAATTTTAAGCCGCTGAATGTCAATTTGTTCTGAGCAAAATAGGCGTTAGTCAAAGACGTGGCCTGTGTAACTTACAGAAGCAAATGAGGTCCACCATTTATTTTGAAAGGGGTGAGAGAGAAGCCTGGCCCAAGCATTTTGTAATGTCTGGCTGTCTTTTTCGCCACATAGTATGTTAGACAGGGTTGATAAGGGGCAGGGTGACGCCAGTAGAGGACTCAAGTTGCCAGGATAGTAGGCGTTACTGTAAGCCCTGTTCTGATAATACAAGATATAGCATCAGTAAGCTGAAGTGAAAGACATATTCTGAATGGCTAGTCATACACCAGGGCTCAAAATCCTTTTTTTCCGCAAATCTTCTTAACATTAGAATTGTCTGCACTAGACAAGTGAGGCCACACCAATTTAATTTCTTGGTTAACGGATTTTTCTAGAAAAATAATGGAGCGGGAGGGCGAAAAAAACAAAAACAGGCCTAGGCATCTTATTATGGCCCAAATTGGTACGATAGGAGCCATGAAGTCAACACACCAGGCTGGTTCAAAATTCAAATAATGAATTTTGAACTTTTAATGATACCATTGCATTGAAGGATGGAATAACTGTAACCACTAGGAAGAAAAGGACTGTTTTCAACTGTTCAGGGCAAAATATGAGCATTTTGCAGTTGATTCTGAATTTTTATTTTTATTTGCAAATCAGAAAAAAAATGAAGCGGGCGAATCCGTTAACCAAGAAATTAAATTGGTATGGCCTAAGGGTCATCCCCATGTCTTCCAAGACTTACCACTCTTGACCGGACTTCTGCAGCGTACAGCGGTTTAAGGAACTCGGACTCTCCCTCTAGCCTGAGTCCTCTGTCCAGGATACGGAGCTTTCCCATGCCATCCTACAGTCAACATGTACACATATCAGTTGTGTCATTTATAACATACTGTACCTTCAAATAGCAGGGCTCAAATTAATTTTTGGGAATAGGTGCACTGGTGCAATTTTTTGGGTGCAACGTATAAAATACATTGTAGAATAACTAGAATGTCAGCAATAACTAATTATGTTTCATTTCTAAAGAAAAGTATTACAACAATAATTTTATCATTTTTCTGACATTACTATACATTTAACATCTTGATGTGTACATGTACGGAAAATATTTTAGGCGTGCTTGGTAATGAAATTGTTCCAAAAATACAGTATTGAAAAACAAAAAAATATTCTGGATGACGAAATCTGTCTGATGTCGTCACAATTACTACCATTTAGCACCAGAACAAGCTACTATATGAGGATTCCATTTTATTGGGTGCCACCCATAAATTGCTAGAACCAGCATATATACAAAACAATAATTTTTGATTTAATTCAATGACATTGCATATTCGCTTCACAGATATCAGTATGCTATGGGATGGGGTTGGTTGAACTTGCTACATTAAAAGAATGAACAGAACAATGACTTTGATTGAAAATCCAGTTTTGTCACCCTAAAATTGCATTGGATGCCTTTAATTTAAATAACTGTTACTCACAATGTTTAAAGTTAAAACTTAAGATCCAACACAAAAATTTCTCTCACATTGAGCTCTAAGTGAGAGAATTTTTGTGTTGGATCTAAAGTTTTAACTTCAAAGATGTAACTACCAACACAGATGAACTTTCATGGTGTTACTCACAATGTTGAAGTTGAGCACTTTGAGGATCCATATCGTCAGGGCCAGGTTTATAACGATGAGGACCATGAGAAGTAAGATGAAGAGGTACAGGCATCGCTTCCTCCAGCCGTAGATACCGATCCGGTACGACATCTGCTGCTGCGGTCTGGACGGAGTGCCGTTCACGGCGTAGGAAGCATTCGCAGCTCCTCCTCTCGCCATGTTTTATTGCTCGATAGCACCTACCTGTATAACAACATTGTAAAAATTTTTTTAACATACAAACAAACTTTCCTGACAACTTTCCAGTGTCCAGGGTTCTAGCTAGCGCTAAGTAGCGTCGGGGCCCGCGACGCTAAAATTTTGACCCGCTACGCCAATTTTCCCCCGCTACGCTAATTTTCAGTACAACGTAGCGGCATTGTGACTGCATTTCTTTGTTCAAAAATGCCAGATCAAATGTGAAAAATGTTTTTTTAGCAAAGTAACGCACGTGGCGGCCCTCCCAGGAGAATGGGGCGTGCCTAGGCGGGGCCTTGGCTTCTTTACAACTTGTGTTGCCGCCCTTCTGTGAGTGACAGCGGCAGTCTCTTGACGCCCAGACACTGGCGTCAGGGTGTCTAGCCCAGTCTGTAGAAGGGATGTTCCGCCCCCTTCATAGTGTCGGCTTTCCCTCTGGGACGCCATATATGGGCTGGCCTATTTAACAATTCCCACGCCACGATGTATGTAGCACAAATATGTTTCCTCCCGTGTTCAACAGATCTCTCCTTGTAACTCTGGACATAAACACCTTCCACTAAATTGCATTAATTCTATATCTTGCCAAGGTGAAAAAAATACAAAGAGTTACAATGTACTTAGTCACCAGCCTAATAATTAAAGTGCTTTACAGTTCCAGCCGGCTCCCGAAAAGGGGAGGGGCCTCTAAAGCCCACAGCGGCAAACTTGCGTTGGTTGAAAATTTGCCACTTTAGTAAACTAAACAAGGGAGTTCACCCCCTTGGATCCGTTCATAGTTTAAACAAGTAAATACAAATTATTGCTCTCTTGTCAAATTTTTGCCGTTTTTCTTTACGGGCGTTTGTGATCTTTGTGACACACGTGGGTTTTCCTGCCACATATGCGTCAGTGCTGGTGCCATGCCGATTTCATGCTCTTAGCTACTGTGCGATCTATGTCGACATACTGGGTGTGCCTGTAATCATGTCAGCATCAAAGCTTGGCAATAACAACAAAGCCACGTGTTGAATCACGTCAAATTTCGGCCCAGTTTTGCAGAACAGAAATGGCACAAAGGAGATTAAAAGTGCCTCATAATGAGACACTATTAGCAGGCAAAACAGACGTATTTCTTATATTATTTATAGTTACTTTTTTTGCATGTAGAATATTACAACTTTGCACACCAGATGCTATGTTTAACATTTAATTTATCTCAGAGTCTGTTCTTGGTTGTGTCTGATTTGGAGTATCTTCTGTATTTTGTGAAGATTCCAAGCTGCAAAAATATAAAAATTACTAATCAAGGATACATTGTACATACCTTAGAAATGACATTTTTTCCCTTTGGGTATCCCTCAAATGGCTGCTTTTTAAGCTTAAATTTTTAAAAGCTCCGCACCGCGGAAGGGGGGCACATCCCCCCTTCCGCCCCATCCCCCCTCTCGGTCGCTTCGCTCCCACGACGTGCGTCAGGTACCACTACGCTAAAATAAAATCCTACCTAGAACCCTGGTGTCACTGACGAAAGGTAGTGGATATGCTACCTGAAACGTCTGACTGTTTCAAAAATCATATCCAGTCGCTTGAGTAACTGTTTTTGGCGTATCTTATTACCTGGATGTCTAACCTTCATCAACAAACCAACTGCAACATGTACATGTATACTTTCTGATCTGAACTGTCATACAAAATGCATCAAAATTTCTAAATGCTTTATGCAAAAACATAAACCTAACTTGAGTAATGTACGCATATATGTATAAAGCACAACTTTATGGAGACCCGAGTATAGAAAAGCCAAATTATAGGACAGATATCTTGAGTCAAAGCAAGGACATCATACAATATATTGTATGATGTCCTTGGTCAAAGAAACTTCACGTAATACTTACCTATAAAGTGTAACTTCAAGATTAACACTGTTACAGAAATACAGGTACTACATAAGATAAAATAGAACCTTCGCAGCACCCTACTCACTCCTTTCTCTTGTTAGCAGACCAAATGTTGACCCTTAACAGTTTATCACCAATGTTTACAAGTCCAGCCATTTCTTCTACTGTTACGACCTGTGTTTACTGGTCTAGTCACTTCTTCTACAGTTACAAACCACAGAGCCATTTTCTCCTCCAGTGGACAGCAGTACTAGATGAGGGCCTGCAAGCCCTTTTTCGTAGGAGTAATCAGGCCGTTTTAGACTTCGTAATTCGTAGGCAGCCTCCACAAAAATTAACGTAATTTGTAATAGTACATTAGCCGCAAATCGTAAAGTCGTAATCAGCTCTGAGGCTTTACATAATTCGTAATAGGCGGCGTAATTCATAATCACTACCCCCCTCCCCTGCAGGCCCTCCTAGATGCTTGACCTAGTTACTCCAAGGATTTTGGGTTTGCATGTTTTCCGAAATTCAGAAATAGATACTTATTAGAAGAATGCCAAAATAATAACAAATGGCCTTAGCAAAAATTCCACTTCAGATAGTTCTGGTGTCTGTAACTAACCTCGTTAACTTAGGACGTGTCCAGTCAGGATGTAAAAATCACTTCAACGAAGTTCATGAGCCTTTACCCCAAATCGCTGCCCTTGCAAGGAAAAACGTACAAATGGCAAAACTTGCAACAGTTACTGAAGGCAACTGCCAAACCAGAATATATCTCCTACCATGTGTGCTATTATACCACAATTCTGTAGAAGAATAGCAATGGAAGAAGTCTTTTGGCCTTTTCCAACTACAAGTCACTGAATCTTTTACAGGAAATACAATGTCGTATTGTTACATTTTCTCACCCTACTCTTATCAAACTCATTGTAACAGTATGACCCCATAAGCTTCCAACACCCAGACCATATTTTCTTGTACTGTATACCTTTTTAGCGGGAGAGATGCCTACAGAATCACTACAGTGCATCCATGGAAACACTGCTCAACTTGAAACTAGTGAATACATCACTCCTCTAACTAGGCCCTCCTGCTGTGAGAGTTTGCTTCGCTGGAACCTCCTCAAAAAGGCACAAAACTGGCTGTGAAAATGGCTCAACAAAAGGTTGACAAAAGGCCATTCAACTTCCATAGTCGAAAGATGAAAAGGCAGCACATCTACAGATTTTCCTTCGCATTATAGTCCAGAGAACCCCGCTAGGTTTTAACAGTAGTTAGTTTACCATGTTGAAAGGGATACAAGTATCGCAAACAGATCAAAATCAAATGTAGACCTGCAAATACCTGTATTAAAGTGGAATTATTAAGTTGTACACATGTTAGGCTTTATACTGGGTAAAAACATGAATGCAGCTATGCCTTATTTATCAGTAAGTTATGTACTTTGAACATAATAGTTAACTTGTAGTAAATTGTCTGTACCCTAGGCCTAAACCCACATTTACTGATTTAGGTTCAGGTCCGGATTCAAGTCCAGAGGTTTAGGTTCAGTTCCAGACTTTTAAGTCGAGGCCGAAACCCATGGCATATACAAAATTGCATGTTGGCAACCTTGCAATGTTGTCTGGGTGAAACTTTGGCCATTAACTTGAAATCCGACACTTGACGATGCCCGATGGCAATATTTTCTTCATTTTGCAGCAAAGATTTTGCAATCTGTGAAAGGTGTTAAGTGGTTTGGGAAGAAAAGGGGTATGTGAAATGGTCTTTAATGGTAATAAGTCCGGACTCAGTTCTTAACTTTTAGTTTTTTTTGGACTTGAACCTAAACATTCTTACAAGTCCGGATCCAAGTCCAGTGAACCGGTACGCAGCACTAGTAACAAGACAGTACTTAAAAAGACCAACTGAGTCTGCAGTAGTTTGTTTAAAATTCCTGGCCAGTATCTCCTACACAGAAATCAGATCCTTGGCCTGACCTAGAAGAAGCAGGCATCTTTTAGCCCCCGGCCTTGTCAACAAGACAAATCTCTTCCATATGGCACCAGTCATGAACTTGGTACCTGTAGGGGACTATGGTAGCCTCTACCAGGCTTGGGGAGGCGGCTGGAAAGAGTAGAAATCGGCCAAAATAGAGAGATAAGCATGCCAAGGGAGTTGAGAGAACAGTTCGCCGCCCCACAAACAATGAACTGTTCTCTCAACCGCCAAACTCCCTTGGCATGCTTATCTCTCTATTTTGGCCGATTTCTACTCTTTCCAGCCGCCTCCTCAAGCCTGGTAGAGGCTAGGACTATGGATCAAGTTGAATTGTGACATGGAGCTATAGAATAGAGGTACATAGGGAAAACATTTGCAAAAAAGTAGAATCTTATAATTCCTTTTTAGGCCACACCAAGTTAATTTGGTGATTCTCGGAAGAAAGGGACTTTTCTTAACTGTTGGGGACAAAAGTTTTGAGTTGATTCAGAACCAGACTCTTTTTTTTTTTGCAAACCAGAAAAAAAATGAAGAGGCGAATCCGAGAACCAACAAATTTAATTGGTGTGGCCTTATTAATACTTATCATAATAAAAAGGTACCTTTATTTGGTATAACACTAAGTTACGTTTTTTAAGTTTTGTGTTTCTTTGAAATTGTTGAAATTCTAGGTTAACATTTCACTGATAAAGAGTGTTGAAATAACACTTTAAACGTTTGGCTATTAGTATTACATTCTTATCCAGTTGAAATGTCTAAAATACAATGTACTACCTTACTGATTCAACTGTAAGTTGTAACGTATACTAATTGTGTAGTATCTAGAAATTACGTGACTGGTCAAAAATTGACAGATCAGCTTTCCAGACATCCAACAATGTGAGATGATGTCATGATCATGCCATACAACTGTTTAAACGATTTTCAACACCCTTCCCTCCTTCTTTTCCTCGTGAAAGTTTTACGAGCAAGATCTTAGGACTGTTCCCATATCACTTTCTCAGTGAAGTCACTGTTTGCATACTAACTAGCAGTCTGCTATGTACCACCTGGTAAAGGTTTTGGGTTGGTATTGGTTTTCACTTTTCAGGCTAGGGCCATACCAATTTAATTTCTTGGTTAACGAATTCGCCCGCTTCCTTTTTTTCTGATATGCAAATA